TACTGCACTCCAACATCTTCCAAGGTGATACTGGACTGCTGCTCCTTGACCTTCTCAGATCCAGGAAATATTGTTTCATTCTGTTGTTGTTTTTGTTTTTTTTGGGGGGGGGGATTGCACAGTATCACAAGCTCTACCACAGTTCATAACCTCACAGGCAGAAACATTGCCGTGACTGGGTAAGTGGCCAGTTCCTGCGAAAGGATCTCGCGGCAGCTGCCCAAGGCACACAGAGACCGGGAGGTGAGATCTCCTTGATCTCACCGGCTCGAGAGCCCCCTTGTAACCAGCCATTATGACTGAGGCTTATTTGTCATCGAAACCTTTCTATTGCACCGTGGGCCAGTGTTCCCTCTAAGCTGTGCTAGTGTGAGCTAGCTCACAATCTTTAGCCTCCAGCTCACACATTTTTGTCTTAGCTCAGCAAGGAGGGCTCCAGAGGAAACTGATTTATGCAGTAGCCAAATGGCTCGCTCGCAACTTGAATGCCAGTAGCTCACAAAGTAGAATTTTTGCTCACAGGACTCCACAGCTTAGAGGGAACATTGACCGTGGCCATCCTTTACTCCATCCTCAGCTGTAGCAAATTAATCTCAGGGAAACCATGGCAGCACCATACTCGGTTTCAGTCGGCTTTGTCATCCCAAGTCTGTGGTTCGTGTTCTGATCCTTCAGGGGCAGGGCTGCCAACTTGCCAGAACCAAGTTGGAAAACCCCTGGAGATTTGGGCGTGGAGCCTGGGGAGGACAGGGACCTCGATGGGGTCCAGTTTGGTATAGTGGTTAGGAGCGCGGACTCTAATCTGGGAGAACCGGGGTTGATTCCCCACTCCTCCTCATGCAGCTGCTGGTGTGACCTTGGGTCAGTCACAAGTTCTCTCAGAGCTGTTCTCTCGAGGGCTGTTCTCGAGAGAGTTCTCTCAGCCCCACCCGCCTCACAGGGTGTCTGTTGTGGGGAGGGGAAGGGAAAGGAGGTTGTAAGCCGCTCTGAGACTCCAAGGGAAGGGCGGGGTATAAATCCAATCTCCTCCTCCTCTTCTTCTTCTTCCCAATATACACTCAATCCTCCCCGCACACCTCTGATAAGCAGCGGGAGACAGGGTCTGGAAGACTGGGCACCAATGTTCCCTCCAAGCTGTGGAGTCTTGTGAGCAAAAGTTCTCCTTTGTGAGCTCCTGGCATTAAAGTTGTGAGCGAGCGATTTGGCTACTGCATAAATTACTTTGCCATGGAGCCCTCCTTCCTGAGCTAAGAGAAAAATGTGTGAGCCGGAGGCTAAAAAACTGTGAGCTAGCTCACACTAACTCAGCTTAGAGGGAACACTGCTGGGCACCTCATGGTTTGCAGATCAAATGGGGATTGCATGTGAGCAAGTCAAGCTGTCAAGTTTTAGAAAGGCGACCTGGTAAACAACAAAGCTAAAGCAACCCTTAAAGCAAGGGATGCCAACCTCCAGGTGGGGCCTGGGGATTGCCCGGAGTTACAGCTCATGTCCAGGCTACAGAGGTCAGATCCCCTGGAGAATAAGGATGCTTTGGAGGGTGGGCTCTGTGGCCTTGTACCCCACTGAGGTCCCTGTCCTCCCCAGGCTCCATCCCCCAAATCCCCAGGAGTTCCCCAGTCTGGATTTGGCAACCCTCCCCTCCCATCCCCGCAGGTAGCCGGGGGTGCCTGGCGAGCCTGCCTAAAGCACTTTGTATACAAATAAGCACACAACCATTTCAGGATGAGTTGATTCCACCCTCTGAGCGGAAATGCTCATTTGGTTGTCATAGAAGGTCTGAAAAGCATTGGTCATGCCGCCACCATTCATCCCCTGCATTTCACTTTCCTGTGTGTGATTAGTACATGACGCTTATCGAGCTACCTTATGCAGATGCTGTTAGAGTATTACGAATGTGTAAAACCAGAGAACATTGTCCTGACTTCTCAGTGTCACCCCTCCATTTCAGTGTGCTTCGGAATATGAAAAAATGTGGCCAGATTTGCTTCAACTAGGGCTTTTCTACCTTGGTAAAGTAAAGGTTCCCTTGCTCGAAAGCCAGTCGAATCCAACTCTAGGGTTGCGGTGCTCATCTCCGTTTCAAAGCCGAAGAGCCAGTGCTGTCCGAAGACATTTCCGTGGTCATGTGGCCAGCATGACTAGACACCGAGGCACACGGAACGCTGTTACCTTCCCACCGAAGTGGTCCCTATTTATCTCCTTGCAATTTCTTGCTTTCAAACTGCTAGGTTGGCAGGAGCTGGAACTAGAGACGGGAGCTCACTCCGTCATGCGGCACACTCGGGTCTCAAACTGCTGAACTACCGACCTTCCACAGCCTGCAGTTCAGCATCTTAACCACTTGAGCCACCGCAAGGCTTTTCTACCTTGGTACCTTTACTAATGTTTTGCAAGGCACCAACTATATCCATTTGTGGCTGATTTCCCACAAGCTGCTGCAGTGCGCTGGCTCTTCCCTTTGCCCCAATAGTACATGTCAATTTCACACTAAGTGCTGTGGGGCAAAATGCAGCCACGCAGCACCTAGTGTGAAATTGACACATACGATTGGGGCAAAGGGAAGAGCCAGCGCACTGCAGCAGCTTGTGGGAAATCGGTCTGTATCTATCATTCGGGCTCGATGAGCCAAGAGAGATGCCAGAAGTTCCCATAGCACTAAAAAACACCCCAAATCCGCCAGTCACATAACTGTGGTTGCCAACCTCCGATTGGGGTCTGGAGACCTATAATTCCAACTGATTTCCAGACTACAGAGATCACTTCCACTTTGGAGGGCAAACCACGGATTCTTGGTGAAACCGCTCCCCAGATCTCCCCTCCACAGGCACCGATCCCAGATCTCCAGGAATTTCCCAAGATGGAGCTGGCACATTTCAAACAGGCCTTATGGGGGGTGGAAGCAGTGTGGGGTGACCTCTGTATCACCAGTGGGAAAAGCGTTCTCTGGGGCCGTGGCTCAGTGGTAGAGCAACGGCTTGATATGTGGACGCTCCCAGGTTCAATCCCCAGCATCTCCAATCCAAAGATTAGGTAATAGACAGGGGTCATTTCCTGCAGGAGCACACAGGAGCGGAGCTCCGGCAGTAAAGAGCCCAGGGGGCGGGCACATGCAACAAGCCCCGCCCCCGGCTCCCAGCAGCCCTCAGTCAGAGCAAGACGCAGCCAGGTAAATTGGAGAGCCCCCCGGTCCAAAACAGTCCAGTGGCACCTTTAAGACCAAGTTTTATTCTGGTACCAGCTCTCCCTCCTCTGCGAGGACAGATCTGCACATCCCCCGTTCCCCCCCCAATAGCTAGCAATCCAAAACAGTCCAGTGGAGCCTGAGCGGTGGGTGTTGCCCTCTGACACACTTCCGGTGATGTAAGGGGGTGTGGCATATGCAAATAAGTTATGCTAATGAGTTATGCTAATGAGCTCCTGCACCTCTTTTTCTATGAAATGACCCCTGGTAGTAGGTGATGCAAAGACCTCTCTTCGAGACCCTGGAGAGCTGCTGCCAGCCTGGGTAGACAATACTGACTTTGATGGACTGATGGCCTGATTCAGCAGAAGGCAGCTTCGCCTGTGTTCTCAAAACAGGTCTCCAGGAACGGCTGGAGACCGCAGCCCAGATGTTAACATAAGAACATAAGAGAAGCCAATGTTGGATCAGGCCAAGGGCCCATCCAGTCCAACACTCTGTCACGCAGTGGCCAAAAATACCAAGTGCCATCAGGAGGTCCAGAAGTGGGGCCGGGACACTAGAAGCCCGTCCACTGTTGCCCCCCCCCCCCCGCGAGCCAAACACAAACGC